TATCATTGTTGATGGCCAGTGTCTATGTTCTGATTGGTCAGTTTGTTTCCAATACTGGTCATTCAAATATCATCCCTGTATAGATGCATAGGACAATGTTCCCTTAGACACTAACTGTGATATTTGGGTGGGTCCTGGGGATTCCTATTTTTTTCTCTATACTTTTTTGTATTGTTTTAATTTTTCACAACTTGCATATGTCAATTTTACAGTCAGAATAAACAATAAAGTGATTTTCACTTTGGAAAAATTTATACAATATTTTCTTAAGCAAAAATAGTTTCAGAAAAGAACTTGTGATAGGAATAAGACTAGCAAGTAAACTTCTCCTTTGGACTTTGAGAAATGTGGCAACTTTTCTTCAAAAATATGTTTTCAAGGGAACAGGTTTTTTTTTTTGCAGGGGGGACAGAGTCTCACTGTGTTGCTCTTGGGAGAGTGCTGTGGTGTCAGCTCACAGCAACCTCAAACTCTCGGGCTTAAGTAATTCTCTTGCCTCAGCCTCCCAAGTAGCTGGGACTACAGGCACCAGCCACAATGCCTGGCTATTTTTTGTTGTTGTTGCCGTTGTCACTGTTGTTTTAGATGGTCTGGGCTGGGTGTGAACCTGCCAGCCTTGGTGTAAGTGGCTGGCACCCTACTCACTGAGCTACAGGCACCGCCAAGGAATGGATTCTTAATTATGATACTTCTTTGCCTCAGATATCAAAACCTTGGGGTTTTCTTGTTTGTTTGTTTGACAAGATCACTAGGCTGTTTAGGCAAATGCAGTGAGGTCTAGTTTCCACAGAGACAGCTGACAATTTTTTCCTAATATCCTTTTTGTCAAGACAAGGAAATATGGGCTAGAATTCAGGGATACTCAAACTTTTTAAAACAGGGAGCCAGTTCACTGTCCCTCAGACCATTGGAGGGCTGGACTGTGGGCCCCAGGTTGAGTCGGCTGCTAAGCAGGACAGACAGCAGCGGCAAAAACACCTGGTGGGCTGGATAAATGTCCTAGGCGGACTGCATGTGGCCTGCAGGCCTTAGTTTGAGGATGCCTGGAGATGCTAAGACATTTAGAGGATGTGAATAATCATAATCACAAGGGCCCTTCTTTCTGAACTCCAGGGGCAAGCTCAAGTATGATTTTTGGGTCAAGTTCTTGGGCTCTGTCTTTAGCTCTGTGCTGAAGTCATTTAAATCAATGACTTTGGAAGACAGAAAATGCAAGGGCATACCTGTGGAGTATGTGGTTGACTTTAAGCAAAGAGGAAGATTGGCAAACATTTTTAAGTGATAGAATCCAAATGCTAGAGAAAATACAACAGGGGTCAATGTCAAGTTCTGGTCTGGGTCCAAAGGCCCTGCAATGAGGTTAGGAAGATGGGGGAAAATTGTCTGGCAGGAAGGCTCAGGGACTTGGTTCATAGAAGATACATCGTGAGTCAGGTGGGGGAGGTGGAGAAGTGACGGGGACCTTGGATAGCCTTTACAGAAGGAGGCACTCAGAATGAGGACGACATTAATCTCGCAGGACAACAAGTGTCAAAGATGGCTGCTATTCAAAGGTAGAGTGGGCTGCTCGTGAAGGGGTCTCAGCTCAATGTCTCTTCCTGTCGCAGCCCTCTCAGGAAGTGGTGAAGGAGATGATACAGTTCTCCAAGGAGACACTGGACAAAATAGCCAAGGCTCGCTCTGAGGGTTTGTACCATGAGGTAAGAATTCACTTTTTATAGAGGAGGGGGGTAAAGAGAAGGGCAAAACTATTCTCTAGTAAGGGAGGGCAATGGGGTGAGGATGGGGAGGCTGCCAAGCAGGGTGCTTTTCTGGAAGCTGTCCTTTGTTTGAGATCTTGATTCTTCTTGCCTTTAAACTGAACTTCAGCACCATTAGGTGTGTGTTCTCAGTGACTGTGTAACCCACTGAAATTGGGTTTGAGGAGAGCAAAGGCGGGGGGGCATGTCCCTGGGGAATCTGTAATATGTGACCCTGGCATCAGAGTTGGGGTGAGGAGATGGTAGAAGGACAACCTGGCAGTGGCTTGCCTGCTTCCCCATAACTCTCCCACCTTAGCAATAGTGTGGCATGTGCAGGCCACAGTATTCACAGAGCATTTGACCTTGGGTCTTGAAGCACCTGGGATTCTCAACTGTCTCTACATAAGATTCACCTTTGAAAAATCCTGATGCCCAGACCTCCATTCAGGACAGTTTCACCAGAATCCCTGGGGGTGGGACTCAGACATAAAAATTTTTAAAGATAAGTGATTTCAATGTGTAGCCAAGGTTGAACCCCACTGCCAAACACTGGCAAAGCATTTGCATTGAATTAACCCAAGAAAATTGTTGGAAATACTGATACCTGATCTCATTCCCTAAGATGTGTTTCATCCAATCTGCAACAGAATATATCATCACAAATCAGTATTAAGCAACAGAGGGTATAGCCAAGTTTGGATGCCACTAGGGCAGCTGTCCCCAACCTTTTTGGCACTAGGGACTAGTTCCATGAAAAACATTTTTTTCCATGGACTGGGGGGAGAGAATGATTTCAGAATGATTCAAACACTTTACATCTCCACCTCAGATCATCAGGCATTAGACTCTCACAAGGAAATGAGCAACCGAGATCCCTTCCTTGCCTGCAGTTTGTAGGAGTTGTAAGAGAATCAGATGCTGGAGGCAGAGCTCAGGCAGCTGTACGAGTGATAGGGAGCTGCTGTAAATACTGATGAAGCAGTGAAGCTTCCCTAGCTTGCCTGTCACTTACCTCCTGCTGTGCAGCCTGGCTCCTAACAGGCTACAGCCTGGCACTGGTCTGCAGCCCTGGGGTTGGGGACCACAGCACTA